CAGCTTTGTACAGATAGAAAACCACTTGAAGACAGGCGAGATCCCACCGTGCTGCGAGCTGCTAAACAGGAGGCCAGAGCAATGGGTGTCATCCCAGGAGCTGTTTCTTCTGAGACCGTCTTCCGAGGTGATAAAACTGATGATGTGCCTAAATGTGAGGACATGGAAATAACTGGGAATTACACAGATGTCATCTGTAATGACAGCACCAAAGAAATGAACAGTTCACATCATAAAGCTTTTGAAAAGCCCGTTAATGCAAACACTGTGCTGGCAGAACACAGCCATGTGGCACGTGGTGGTAGGGACGTTGCAAAGAGCCTGGCAACTTCGGATCATGGAGCATCTGTGTTGTATAAAACCAGTGCACTTGGACTGTCCTCAGGCTCCAATGAAAGGATCAAGAAAATGTGCCAAGATCATGGGAATGCACCAGTGAACATTGGCTTTGATTCCTGTACAAACCCAGCATCCTGTGGGGTTCCCAAGAGCAGACTCCAGCCCAGGCTGGGGAGCTCGCAGCTTATTTCTCTACCAGGTGAGAAGACAGTGATATTCTCAGGAGAAGACATGGACCTGACCAAGACCTGTGTTGTCAAGGAGAATGCTGACAGTGAATCTCCCGTTGGAGTGTTCTCCTCTGTCCCCTGCAAACCTCATTTTCTTGATAACAGATCTACATCTCCCAGTTTAAATGAGCAGGAAGAAATGGAAATAACCAAGTGCCATGCTGTTGTCATTGATGATCAAGGCAAGAGGATAACTGCAGAAGCAACACAAATGCATTGTAAAATAATTCCAAGAAAGAACCAGAACACAAATGTGAGTGAAGGTACAAATTATTCAGATATGGACAAGGAAAACTGTGAGGTGATCAGTACCAATGGGAATGTTAAAAGAAGCCAGGCTGTAAAATTGAATACTATGGATCTTGAGATGGTGGAGAAGCAGCTTGGAAAACCAAACTTCCAGGCAAGTGGTGCAGCTTCCTGTGCAGAAAGGGTGTGTTTATTGCAAGAGCAAAAGAGAGAAGTCCCTGAGATCAGTGTCACCAACTCCAGTGCATTCGTGTCTTTGCAAAGTCAAAAAGTTATGGCACAACCTTTGGGAAAGCACCACGTAATCCCTTCAGTTTCCTGCACAAATGACAGAACAGGCACATTTTCAGGTGAGCAAAACAGTGACATGACCAAAACTCATCCTCCTGCCTTTGCTGCTCCTCTGAATGCAGTACAAGAACATCGGAATAATCATAGCCAGAGTAAAGTGTTATCCCTGCAGCTGCAGAACCAGACCTCCCAGTGCTCCGGCAGTTCCGGTGTAGGGGTCAGGAGTCAGACTGCAGCAGTACAACATGTGGCTTTGCAAATGAACACCAGTAATCAAACTGTTACTCCTTTGGCTCCAAATGGTTCATTTATTCCCAGTAATGAGCTTGCTCCCTCTGGAATGAAAGGGAATGAGCAGCGTGGAACAGCATTAGGACTAAATGCCAGTGGCCAAAGCTCAGGCAGGCAGGAGAAAGCACATCCTATGAAGGTAGGAAATGAAGCTTTGCCAACTCGAGAAGATTCTAGGAGAGGTTTTGCAGTTGGTACAAGAGTTTCTTCTGAGGAGGCTTTTAAAAGTCCCCACGGAGCTGGTAGCCTGTGCTTGAGGGGTGCTGAGGAGCCAGTTCAGGCCACTGCCTCTGAACCACACACAGGATGTGCTCAAGTGCCTTCGTTCTTTGAGAAGTCAGTTATGTTTCCCTCTGGTGAAAACATGGACTTGACAGGAAACATCAATGCTACTTTATCGACAAGAAAAGCACTACCTGGATTCCATGTTCAGGATGAAAACAAAATAATGTCCTTAAGAAAAGGGGCCACAATGACAGTGAATCCTCAGGAGCAGCCTGTGTGTGATGTGCACTCCTTGGTATATGGCAAGAAAACATTAACCATGAGTGGTTTAAAACATCTGCCTCTTGCAGATGAGGCAACGACCATATTCTCAGAAGATGCTGACATGGACATCACCAGGAGCCACACAGTGTCAGCAGACAACAAAATAACTGTGCAGCTGAGAAGTGCCAATGATGACCCCTCCTTAATTGCTGGAGATAGAACTTGTGTTTTTACCTACAATAATGATATGGAAATAAGCAGACTGGATACTGCTGCAATTGATAAACCTATGGCAAAGGCTGCACCTCGAGGGATGCTTAACACAGGTAAAAGGACTGGAAGGAAAAGCTTGAAAGGAACAGCAGGGGAAAAGACTCTTTTATTTTCACTGAGTGATGACAATAATGACATGGAGATCACGGAGAGCCACACGGCTGCTATAGGCCATGAAATGGTCTTGCAGAATGAGAGAGGGCTTCAATCTCTCCCTTCAGCTCCCCCCATTAAAACTGCTGTGTTCACAAGCAGCCAGGCTGACATGGACACTACCAGGTCTTGCTCTGCTGATAAAACTGCTGTAAAAGTTGCATGTGATGATAAACTAAGGTGGGATAAGGCGGTTGGAGAGCAAGTGCTTTCAAATGGTGAAGCTACTGTGTTTGCTCTGGATGACATGGACATCACTAGAACCCACCATGTAGCTTTGGAAGAAGATTCCCTGAGAGGCAGGCAGCCCCATGGGACTGTTCCTGTGACTCCCAAAATGATGTTCACAAGTTACCAAGCTGAGATGGAAATAACTGAGTCTCACCCTGTTGATCAAAGTGTTGCAAGAGGCTTTTGTGAGGACAGGCTGAAGCTGGCCCAGCAGCTCGGGCAGGAGGCTGTGGCAGGTTCCAAAACTGTCATTTTCACTTTGGCTGAGGACATGGAGATCACTAAAGCTCAGGCAGCTGTGGTGCATGCTGAAATGGTGCTGGGCAGAGAGTCCATCCCAGCCAGATCTGCAGCTCCTGCTGATAAAACCATTGTGTTCACCCACAACCAAGATGATATGGAAATAACTGCATCCCACACTGTTGCTGTTAATAACAATATCAGTGGATTGGAGGACCAGGAGGCCTCACAGAAGAGCACTCAGCAAGCAGACTTGCGTCGTGGGCTGTCCTCTTGTAGAGATGAAACAGATTCCTCACATCCAGGAGACCTGGATGGTGAATGTCATCCAAAATCTAAGAATGAGCCCAGCATTCCCTCATCAGCCTCGGTGTTCGCTAGTGAGAAAGGAGCTATCCCAGACCCCAGTGGCACATCACCAAATCCTGTGTGTTCTGTCTCACCTTCAGAAGAGACCATGGATGTGGGGGCACCGCAGGATCTGGACCTTCCCATGGATAATTCTGTCCCTGTGAGCAGGGAGCAGGATGTCATTCCACCAGAAACCCTGAACTCAAAGAGAAAATCATCCAAACTTCCAAGTAAGAGTCCCACGGATTGTGGGGAAGAAAGTGGTGATTTAGCATCCCATGTTTCACTTCCCAATCCAGCAGCGAAGGGTTCTGCAGATGCATGTAGTACACAGGGAAACCAAGCACTAGAAGAGGATTCATGTAGAGGTGAAGATTTAGCTACAGACTTGGGCCTGGAGTCAAAGGAAAACCAGGGGCTGTCAGCTGAAGGGGAGACACCACCAGAACACTTTCAAATCAACTCTGACCAAACGAAGCAACCTGTGGTCAGTGACAGCACGAGAGATGTTGTAGATCCCACTCGTGCCTCTGACTTCTCAGGTATTTTAAATATCTATTCAAAACTGAGGAATATTAGAAGGAAATCTGCAGTTTTTCCTATTTCTGAGACCGTTTTTTCTGACCAGTTGCCCAGTTCCTCAGCTCAGGCAGAGGATACTTTGAAGGTAGGAAAAAATACTCTAAATGAACCAAGTAATACCAGAGAGCAGGAGGACACATGCCTTGATTCTGGAGCTGCTCCCATAGATGCACATTTAGGCGTGGCCTTAAAGGATCCATACCAAAGAATAAATGTCCCTCTGGGTATCTTCCAGCCTAAGTTACCCAACAGAAGGAATCCTGTTTCTAGTGTACAAGACACAAATGCAAAGTCCTCAGACAAAGGAGAAGCACCAGTTTCAGAAGTAACCACTGGTGAAACCCCAGGTAACAAGAAGTCTGTGAGGCAGAACTTCAGCCCCTCTCAGTTTATAGCAGAAGAATTTCTTCCTGTCTGCCTGGAAGAAATGGATTCAAATGAATCTGTAAACTCTGAGCTCATGGAAAATAACTGCAATGAGATAAGCAAAAACCCAATCTGCCACGATGAAAAGAATCAAACTGAAGAGACAAAAACTTGCAACACAAAAAGAGCTTTGGAACAAGATGAGGAGGATCCTCAAAGTCCAAAGAAGGCCAAGAGGGATGAAAACTTGGATGCTGAGGCCTCTGCAGACCTGCAGGTGAGTTTAATCACTCATTACAAAGGTACAGTGGGCACTAACAGGGCTTTTGTTTCAATTTTGGGGTGTTATAGATCTGTTGGTAGGTTTCCCTGTTTCTCTTAACCACTCATTTGCTGTCATTTTGCTGTGTTATCCCTGTGTTATTTATAAGGGATATACCAATTTTAAACCATTCTCCATAGCATCCTTTTGAGCCTTTCTTGACTAAGTACTCCTTATCCTCTGACCTAAACTATTTACTAGTTGTCACTTAGCTACAGTGGTAGAGTAAGGCCTGAAGCAACTATTTAGCATCCAAAGATGGATGTTGAGTTTAAATCGGCTTTTTTAGACAGCACAAATTGGAAATGAATCCAGAAAATCTGTGCAAATATGGAACATTCATCTGAAACATTCATCTGACCTTATGAATAATTTTGTCATCATCAGTAGAAACTTTCTAGTTCCAGAAGCTGGAGGAGTGTGCTTGGATTGAGAAATGAAGGAAGCAGCTTTGCTTCCTATGTATCATCGTAGGAAACAGCTTATCTGGCCACACACTGCTTTGCCGTGCTGATTAGATATCAAGTGTACCCATGCTGAAAAGGAAACATTACTGAATGTCAAGAAACAGCTACATTAAACAACTGATCAACTTCTATTTCCTATAACTCTTTATTCCTTTTAAACTTGCTGACATTAGGTGACTCTTGGTGCTGAGTCTCAAAGCCAAGCAGAAGTTCACGAAGGTGAAGAGCCTCCAAGTCTCTCAGCTAAAAGCCCTGACTGCACCCACGCCAGCACCAGCAGCTCTCTGGATTCTGTTAAAGCTGACACAGAACTAACAAGTAAGATTCTCCGTGTGGTACCAGCCCAAACCCTGTGTTCTTGTTTCACCAAGGAAGAGCCCCACCAGTAGTATATATTTTAAACCCAAGTTGGACGGGGCTTGGGGCAACCTGCTCTAGTGGAAGGTGTCCCTGCCCATGGCAGGGGTTGGAACTGGAGGAGCTTTAAGGTCCCTTCCAACCCAAACCAGTCTGTGGTTCTATGATTTCATTTGGGAAAGGCCTTGGATGCCCATGTCAGAGCTGCCAGCCAGGGAATTCTGACTGACAGTTCAAGCTGTTCAAGGAGAACCAAGATAGGAAGAAAAATGAGCAGAGTTTAGGTCCAGCTTTGATTTCAAAGGCAAATTGGGCTGGCGAGGCAGTTCAGTTTCTTTAGCAAAGCCCGAGCCTAAACTCTGCTGACCCAAAGATGATTTTCAGCTGGTTCCATGCAGAATGAGTCTGCTGTGCTCTTGGAAAAGGACTCGGAGGCGTTGCAGGGATAGGCTCTAAGCAGATCACCCCCAGATTTAGTTACCTGATAGGCAACAGTGAGGCAGAAATCTCACTGGTCGTCTGATAAGGGATCTCTCGCCTCCACTTTCAAAACCAACCTAATTTTGGCCTCCTGCAGCCTTATCCAGCAGAAATTGGGCTCTTTCCTTTGAGTGAGGAATGAGTCCTTTGAACTTGAGTGCTGTGGTTTCACCTTGAGAGGTGCCAGCAGCTCTGATGCTCTTTGGTCTTTGGCTGCGCAGGATTCCCTCTGTGAACTGGTTGGAGTCTCCTTCTCAGTTTCATTACTCTTTAGTATGTTACTTCTGGCTTTCCTCTCACAGAAAGTGAACTGTTATTTCACTACCCCCCACCACAGATTTTATGTTACATTAGATTCTTCATCCAGCCCTCCTTATATGTCCCAAGTAATTGTTTCCTTAGGTACTTCACTCAACACTGGAACTTTACATGGTGATGTAAAGGTTAAAACTCTACATTAAAATAGCCTTTTTTTTCTAGAGCTAATGAGCTTAGGTTCATATTTCCATAGAAATATTATTAATCCCAGCAATATTCCCCCTCTCTTTGTTTCCTGGCTAGTCCAGCGGAGCAGTCGGATGGAGTCTCAGCTTCTCAATGACAGCATCTGTGAGGATAACTTACGGGAGGTATGAAGTGGCTCAGTGATGCCAACGTCTTGTCCTAACAGGAAAAAACTTGTGTGTGTATATGCAAGTAAGTGTTCTTGCTTGGAAAATGTGCTCATGTGTAGGTTTTCCCTGATCTTGACAGAAATTTCAGAGTGGTGTTATCACAGTTGGGGAGTTTTTTACACTTCTTCAAGTCCACGTTCCAATTCAGAAGCCCCGGCGGAGCCATATTCCAGCCAGTGTGAGTATCCTTTGATCTCCATTACATAGTTGACCTTAAAGGCGCCTCATTTCATATAAGCCTTCTTAAAATGAGTGTTTCAGACTTGGGTATTTGTACACATTTTGCAGCCAAGTCAATTTCCACTGCGATGCTGGGGCTGGTCTCTGGTGTCTGGCTGGATTTCACGAATCATCTTTATAAAGGATGGTACTTGGGTAATGTGGTGGGAATGAGCTCCTTAGTTTTCTTTATACAAAGAAAAAAGTTTCACATTTCACAAACAGAGGAAGCTTGTTAGGAAGATTGCAATGTTTAGCATTCATAAACACAGGGATTTAGTTCAAATCCTTCAGTTTCCTGCTGCTTGCTACCATTTCTATGGGCACAGTGAAGGATGCACCGGGGCATGGAAAAGCTGTCCTGGAAAGTGGAAAACCTGAGCAGTGTCTGTGTGATTTTGACACTGGTTTGGGAGTTTCTTTGATGCCAGTACTTTATTCTAGAGTGCTGAGAACTTCTCAACAGTCTGTTCAAAGTTAAATTTAAGTTCTAGGAGATTTGATCTTCCTTCTGCCAAATGGGTGGCCTGACACCACTTTTGATAGGAATTGTTAATATGGGTTTATGATTAGAAGTGTAAGAGTGAGGCAACTAGTTCCTATGTGTGAAAAGGTGTGGTCCAGATCATATTCTTCACACAGTCGTTTATCTGTGAAAATTCTAACTTATGAAATCCATTCTAGGACTCAGGCTAGTTGCACACTGGCTCCTGTATAACCATGTCTTACTGCTGTAAGATGTCACATTGTCAGGGCAAATATGGCAGTAGAATATTCACGTTAGAAATGGAGATGTCTTCTGGGAACTAAGGACTGCAGCTGTGGGCCTTGTTTTGGTAGCCTGCAGAAAGCCAGTGCACACAACTGGTTATGGGGGGGCACACATAGCAGTGGGGTGTTCTGCCTTGCTTCCTGCAAGGGACTTCATCTGGGACTGTAGTGACAGGACAAGGGGTGATGGGTTCTAACTGAAACAGGGGATGTTCAGATTGGAGATAAGACAGAAGCTCTTCCCTGTGAGGGTGCTGAGGCTGTGACACAGGGTGCCCAGAGAAGCTGTGGCTGCCCCACCCCTGGCAGTGTTCAAGGCCAGGTTGGACACAGGGGCTTGGAGCAACCTGCTCTGGTGGAAGGTGTCCCTGCCCGGGGCAGGGGTTGGGACTGGAGGATCTTTAAGCTCCCTTCCAACACAGACCACTCTGGGATTCTGTGGTTTTCCTCATATTAAATTGAAGAGCCATCTCAGCAGCCTTCAGTTTACAACCTGGAAGTAAACCCTGGGAGCTAGTACAGCTACACTTCTACTCGGGTCAGGAGCCACTGGAAAATGAGGAAAAACTTCCAACGCCTGTAAAATAGCAGAACTATTTGATGACTGATACGTCCCTTCAGCCCAAACCCCTCTGGGATTCTGTGCCAACTGAATAAAATGCCTGTGTGTCAGCTTAGGAAGTGCTGGTAAAAAGTGTCTGTTTCAAAGTTCTTTAAAACTGTCACAACAAAAGGACAAAAACTGATTTAAAGAATCACACTAAATGAACATCATTCGTATTGATTAAATTGCTTTTATTCCCCTGTTGTACGAAAGTAAAGGTTCCAGGCCTTTTGCTGCTTTCTGCACATGACTTGGGAGTTACTGATTCTGACAAAAACACATCTTGTTGTCTTTCTCTTCACGATTCCCCTCTGTTCCCCTCAGGGTGCAGTCAGTGCAGCTCCTACCCCACAAGACCTCATGTACAACCAGTATGTGCATCGCCCCAAGCTGCGTATTTATGAAGAAGATTGCCAGGCCCTTTCTCAGCTGATAGAGGAGTAAGTGGGGTTTAGTCATAAAGTATATTAGCATTTTGTTTTTTCAGCTCTGGTTGCATGCAAAGTGGCCTGAAGAAAGTTACTGCATTATATACAGGAGAAATAAGGAATGCTGCTTGCCCTGCTTTGTGCTGGTAGCCAGTTTATTGCAGGTTTAGAGGGGATGGGGATAAGCCCGGGGAGGAGTTGTGGTTGTGGGGATACTGAAGGTTGGGTTTCTCCTCAAGTAATTTATCTTTCACTAATAGGGTGTTTCAGCTACATGTCAGAAGAGTTAAGCTTTTATAATTGTATCCAAAATGATCACACATAGAAAGCAGAATCGTAACAGGTCACAATGTGTTGTTTGTTCTAATATTACAGTGTTTCTTAGGTTGAAATACAGTTGTCAGGATTTATTTCCTTATCAGAAGGACACTTCTGGGCTGCTTCACTCTGCCTTTTACAATTTATATACAAAATCAAGTTTTATGATAGAATTGGAAATCAGTACTCAGATTTTGATTGTTCAGAGCCTCTTTGGCACCACTTCCTCGTTCTTTGGCTCTCAATCTCCTGTTCAAACCTGCCCTTAGCTAATATGCAACCATTTCCCCTAGGAAATGAACTTTGGTTTATGTGCAGGCATGGTCCCCATTTAATCAAGGCTTCAGAGGGTCTCTCCAGGCTGTAAGACCCAACTAAATGAAATTATTTACATTTATGTTTTAATTGGAACAGGGGAATGGATTTTACAAATACCAATGTGCTGTTTTATGTGCTTGGTGCAGTGGCAACAAGACTTTATTTCAGCTGTGGTTTTCCCCATATTTCAGGTTAAAACCATGTGCAAATGTCCAGGATCAGCTCCTGGTGAATGTGAATAAGACTTTGTGGGAAGTAATGAGGACCTGCTCTGATGAAGAGGTAATACTGCATGAAGAGATGATGTTGTTTCTTTCATAATGAAGAAGTACGAATAATTTTTATGTATTCAAATAAACTAAGAACCAGAATGAGCACAGAATAACAGTAGGCAGGTAGGTGATACATGGCAAAGTATTTTCTGAAAGGAAGACTGCTATGAGGACTTCCAGTAAGTCAGAAGAATGCAGGGATGTGCCCTTTAAAATATATTAAAAGGAATGTGTTGCTATAAACCAGAAAAACTTGATAATTCAAGTAGATAATTCAGGTTAGTGGAGGGCAAAAAAGAGAAGATAAAGTTTAAATGGGCCTAAGTTTAGACAGTGCCATTTTGGAAGGAAAGAGTGAACTGTTCTCACTGTAGAGACTCTGTTATTCCATTGGTGGAACAGAATCATCTGTTAAATGCTTATTTAGTTCAGAAAGACACCTAGTGTTGCAAGATGTATAAGGAACAGAAAATATGGGTCATGACACAAAACCACACTCAGGATTTGGAGTGCAACAGTGGTGTCACCTGCCAAAAGAAAAGATGAGGCCAGAGGGTGTGCAAAGCAGAATGCTACTGACTGTGAGCACAAGCAAGCACCCAAACACAGTGTATGTAATGAGGGTGCTCTGGGTCTGGGTAGAAGCATCTCTTTAGTTGTGTGGCTTCCTCTTCGAGTAAAGATCTTGTTGGATCTTTGCAAAGAACATCGATTATTTAGTAGGCAGCTGTATTTGACCTAACAGGGAGTGTCCAGGCCTCAATCTGATTTTATTTGCAAGTGTCATGTCATACTCTTCTGGAGAAATGGGATACTGGGAGGAGCAGAGAAGGGAGAAAGAGCCTAAAGGGTCGATGGAATAATCTTTTGTGGCACATTCCCATTCACTTTCTCTTCTCTATTTCCCATTCATTGCAGCTGAAGAGCTTTGGAGCAGAAATGAACAAAATGAAATCCTATTTCACCAAGGAGAGTAAAATCTTGGGTCACAACCAGAAGGTGACGTTATACAGCAAATTGCTGCAGAGTGCACAGGTAATGTGTGTTCAGCTTTAAAGGAAGGAGCTTCTACCATATTTTGTCTGTCTTTGGCAAGTGTAGGAGCCAAATTATTGTATATAACTGCACTCTCCTAAAGTTTCCTTCTTATTAAACACGCTTCCTTTTTATTCATATGCAACTATGAAGCACGCTGGGACAGTGATTTTCTTGCACTTAGACTACACAAACCTCTGCCCAAGGCTTTTGGCAATTAAAGAAACAGTGAAAAATGGGAGTGTTAAAGGAAATGCCACCAGAAATTAGCTCTTTCTACTGTAGTCATGTCAGTATTAGTAACTAACAAGACACAGGAGAAGTAATGCATTGTGGTATTGGAAATTTGCATGTGTTAAAAGCTCTAGGAATGTATTTACCTCCATGTCTTATCCCTCATAAGCAAAGTCATGAGTGAGATGCAGTGTTCAGTATCTAGTGCTTTCCTACCATGGCTACTGCCTTAGTGTTTGTCAGTCTGCCTCTTCCTTCTAACAACAGATTATATCAGCTTCCTTAGTTTCTTAGCAAGCAACGATCCACATGGTGGTCTCAGAAGGCAATTCAGCTTTTTAAATGTCACTGATTTGAGCACAATTTTCCCATCTTAGGAACAACATGGGAAGCTCCAGTCCAGAATAGAGCAGGTGGATGGGTTGCTGAAGGAGGCAGAGAGCTGTCTTGTTGCTTTGGGAGCAGGTACGTGTTGCCAGTCCCTGCCCCATGTGCTGTGTCTGGTTCTCTACAGAGCTGCTGTTTCAGTGGTCACCTCTGTTCACACATGCTGCAGTCAGTCCTTGGCACTGCTGCATAGGGATGCTCTGTGTCTTTTTACTTCTTTTCTTCCAACTGAATTTTCTTCTAATGTCTTAAGTAGAAATTAAGAAATAAAATGGAATCTAAGTATTGATCTGAGAGTTCTGCAGAGATCTGATACTTCTTTCCCACAGATTCTGACTGGGATGAAGGGGAAGCGGACAATGATGGCAGTGATGAAATGGCAGAAGGGAAGAACCTACAGGAAGGTAATGGTACCAACTGATGGCACTTTCTGGTTTGGTTTATAACTCTGGAGGGGGGGGATACTCAATCCCCACCTGATATATTAACTCTGCTATGGATGCAAACATTACTGCTTCCTTTTCTGCTTTGGTTATAGCTCATTACATAGATGTTAAAGTATGAAAAGGATTGTTTTTCTCTGGAAAAATGGAGTTTACAATCTGGTACAGTGTATTGTTAAGAAAAGCAAGTCTTTGTGGCTCTTCTCTCACAGCTTTTGCCCCTCTCTCTTAGAACTGGAAAACCTCAAAGCCCAAGAAGAAGAACTTCAAAGGTAAGATGTCAAAGAGGAGCTATGACCTTCACTAACATGTGTGTATTCAGGTTTTAGAGGGTCGGTGGTTTTTAACTGGTGTGCTACTTCTCATGGCGTTGGTTTGTCTGTGCAGAGAACTGTCAGAACTGGAGACTGAGAATGAGCAAATGCTGGTTGAGATGAACCAGCTAAAGAAGAAGGAAAAAACCTTCCAGGAGATCCTGGAGAGATACGAGTAAGGAAAAGACCTTTGGGGTTTACTTTTGTCAGGTGGTTCTGGGGTCTCACATTCGTATATAAATGGGTTTGGGTTTGGTTTTCCTTGTTACTGAATTTGGGAATCTCTGGATGCCCATGTCCTCGTAGCAGTAAAGCCTCAGTGAACTTCCGTGTGTGCTGCTCTGGCTTTCTAGTCACAACTCCGCAGTGATACTCTATGTTTAGTCTTTCTACATCTAACTCCTCATATTTCATAATGAGCATTTATGTAAAATGAGCAGTGTTGTGTTGTGTTCCCCACAGAGTCCTACATTCTCTTGGAAAGGGGAAATTTTGTTGGTATATTGTTGGTACATACAGCTGCCAGAGGGGAGATTGGGATGAGCTCTGAGGCAGAAGCTCTTCCCTGGGAGGGTGCTGAGGCGCTGGCACAGGGTGCCCAGAGAAGCTGTGGCTGCCCCATCCCTGGCAGTGTTCAAGGCCAGGTTGGACACAGGGGCTTGGAGCAACCTGCTCTAGTGGAAGGTGTCCCTGCCCGTGGCAGGGGCTGGAGCTGGAGGAGCTTTAAGGTCCCTTCCAACACAAACCATTCCATGATTCTATAAGATAAAGTGGTCAAAGCTGCAAGTACACTGAATACTCTGATCTTTGTCCTTCAGATAATTGTGCTGGCTGGTTGGTTGGCACTCAGGGTGATGGTGTTTTCTTCCCCCTCTTTTTAGCTTCACTGAGTGGCAGATTACAGAGTGGAATGAACAACAGGCAGTCTTTAGTTTCCTTTATGATTCCATTGAACTCACAGTGGTGTTTGGACCCCCAATAGGTAAGTCCCAACATTGGCAGGCTTCAGTCTTATAAATTGTAAAGGATCAGTAGTTACACAGGAAGTTCAAGTTTCTGTATTTGAGAAGGTCTGCTAAAAGGAAAGAGAAAACGTATTACAGCAGGAGTGTGTAAGCTAAGGGGGGTGGCTTTGAATATGTTTGTCAATGCCTGTTATGGGAATTCAGAGAAGCATGGAATGAATGGCTGTTTCTGTAGAGGAAGAGCTGTAACTCCAGAACTAAGCATGGAAGTGACTGCTGTCTGGGTTTTATCCTTTCCTTCTCAGATGGTGATGTTTTTGGTGAAGATCCTTCCAGAAAGATAGTTAGCCTGAACTTTGAATCCTTCTTGGATGGTAAGATTCTTTTGAGTAGCTTGACTGTAGCTGCCCTCATCTAAATCTGTGGTGTATCTGCTCATGTATTACTACATGGCTTTTAAAAGATCTCTGCCAATGTGTTTTTCACAGAGGAAAAAGCACCACCCTCCTCGTGTCTTGTCCAAAGACTCATCTTCCAGTTCATCGACAGCCGAGGCTGCTGGCAGGAGAAGTTTCCCACACTGTACTACCTGCCCCAGGTAATGTTCCTGCAAAGGAATTTTCCAGTGAGACTGCAAAAACATTAATTCCTTCCTGTCACAGACAGTAGGGCTGATGCTGAGAACCAAAACCTCTTCATGAATGCTTCGTCCATGCAAATCAAAATCTGGTTCATGAGATAAGAGGGGAAGTACCTGTGAAGGCAAGAGCCCTAAAAGCTGTGGTTTCTTCCTTGTTTGCTGCAGTAATGCCTGCCTGTCTTGGTGCCTTCAAATCCTTTTTTCCTGCTAGAAGAATTGAGCTGAATGTCATTCTGCTTCCTAAAGAATGAAGGGTTGGAATTGCCAAGCCAAATCCTGCATGTCTCTGCACCTCTGCTGGCAAAGCTGAGGGGAGAAAATTAAGGCAAAGAACATGTTTTTGTTTTGCTTGTAGCATTTCACCTTCCCATCCAGACGGAGAGAGCAGTTAAACTACTCTTTTGATGTGTGCTTTCTAGGATAAACCATGTTTAAGTGTCACACAGTCCACCAGCCTGAGTGCAATGCGATTGCTTTTCTGGTTGCCCACTTAGGCTCTTCATGACATCTCTTTGGTGGTGAATCGCTGCAAGATCTTGGGAGAGGAGATGGACTTTCTGGAGAGATGGGGTGGAAAGTTCAATCTTTTGAAGACAGAAATCAGTGACACAAAGTGAGTAACTTCAGGTGCAGTTCATATGAGTCCTTCAGAGAGTGTTTCTAGATGATCAGAAACAAAACACTGATATTTTCAATGGGCTTTCTTGAAGTTGAGGTTGCACAATTGCACTACATCCAAATGCATAGAAATGAAGCTGTTCTTAGATTCAGCCACTTCCTTACAATCATGTAACCTCTCCTTCCTTGCCATTTCCCTGTTTGGCTTGGCTCTGTCACGTAAAACTCTAGGCCAGAGCATAGCAATGCAAAGGAGCCAGAGCCACAAGTGGCTTAGTGCTTTGCCTCTTTTAATCTACTTGCTTCAGCCAAGCAGAATGAGCCACTGGAGGATGGCTGCACCTAAACTGAAGTTTATTTGCTTTAGTCTTCATTTTCTTGTACTGCTTCCCAATTCTGTGCCATGTCCTGGTGGAACAAGATAAATACTTCACCTCATCCTCCTGCTACTGGTGGATATCCTTAAGTAAGAAGTGCCCCGTTAGCCATGCTCTGCATGTCTCGATGCTGACCCCATAGATTAATGGTGTGGTACCCTTTGCAAGAGCAGTGTTCTACGTGCCACAACCACATAAAGCTCTCAGTTAAGTCAAAAACCAGGTATCAGGGCAGCCTGTGCCCAGAGAGTTGCAAACTGTGGGAGATTTACCTGGGAAAGACCTGTATTCTGCTTATTGTAGTTCATCCCAAAGCATCTGCTTCCTGGGCACTGTCCTTGGCCATGGTCTTGCTCATATTCACAATAAACTTCAACTCAGGCCTTCCTGCATGTTGTCACAGGCAGGAGGACTGTGCTAGGCAGAAATCTGGCCTGATTTAAATGGGTTGGATTCATGAAACCATCTCACAATCAGTCCTACTGCAAACTGCAGGAAACTTTAGCTACCTGGGAATGGCTTATGTTAACTAGAAAACGTATTTGCTATTATAACTCTATATTCTCACATCATTTTTGAAAGGTTCTATGAGTGATGTGTGTATTAACCTTTTGTGTGAGGTTAGTTGTGTGCTAACTCAGAGAGCTGATAGTATTGGAGTGGAAAGGTTCTTTTAAACTTATTTATGAAGTTGCTGTTGGTCTGTTCTGGAACTCCTTAGAAGCTATTGAGTGTGTTGCATCAGTTACAGCATCTGTTTTCACTTCTGGAACCTAATTCAGAGACAGTAGAAGCACCCTTGAGTATTTCTCCTGATCTTTGTGTTTCTTTTGCAGGGTGAAGCTTTTGTTCTCTGCTTCAAAAGTTTTTGCCAAGTTTGGGTTGACCTTGTCTCTATCTGCCACCTACCCCTCTACTCCACTGCCTTTTACTGTCCAAATCCAAGTTGGGAATATTGGGTGAGTTGCACAGAAGGAACCACCTCACGTGACTTCAGTGTCCAAGGTGGGGAAGGGGATTAAATGCTCTGTGTCCTCTCAAACACATGTGGTATTCTTATCTTTCCCAGGGAGGAGCAGATTTCTGCAGTTGTCTCCGAGGTACCAGTTGGTTACCGCTATCTGCGGAGAATAGTCAGCTCCATTCACCAGAGCTTGCTCCAGGACCCCAGATGATTCCCTGGATCCACTGGCAGGACTGAGGAAGTCAGACTGGATATTCTTTGATTTCAGTGTCAGGAGTTCAAGCTGTCTCTCTCCAGAACAGGAGTGCTTTAGCTTTAGCTACTCAGCTCTTTACTACTCGTCTGCTGATTGGTTGATATTCAGGGTGCTTGGTGTAGGGCACAAGTTTTATCAAAGCAGAGGATTCTAAAGAGGAGATTGGCTTTATCAAAGACATAAGAAATTCCTATCTGCCTTTTACCTTCTTTCAGTTACCAGTGGTCTTGGCCTCCTTGTATAGTCCGGACTAGTATGGATGTTCTCCTGACAGAGGATGTTACTTTTGTTCTGGGTTGATTTACAAAGCATTTGTCTAAGCCAATGATGAGTATTTGCTAAATTAACATGACTGAAATTACCATTATCATTCTTTACTCTGGTGTAACATTTCAACAGAGCCCATCACGTTTGACTTCTATTCATTCCCTGGATCCCCTCCCAAAAGACCGCCACTACCGTCCTGCTTCTGATTAACCATCATACCTCTAACAAGTAACCAGGTGGCCAAAGGCAGAAATACTCTTGGCATGAAGACTAAAGACCCTTAGGCTTGACCATGGACTTGGTGGTGCAACAGACTGGAAGTCACTGGGGTCCATCTGCATCTTGGATGCTTGTTCTGACATTCTCTTTGTCCAGCGCAGTCTCTGTGGGTTCCAGTACGTTGTCTGAGTTTGGAATGTGTTAGTTTTAGTGAGGAGATGGAGCTGTTTAAGTTCAGGTGGACCTCACACCATGTGCAGCCTCCGGTGCTGCTGTATATATTCTGTACATTGTGTAGGAATGCATCTAACCCCAAGGGAGTGTGCTGTGTAGAAGTGCCTCCAGTTCCTAGCTGCCCCTTCTGGAGGCAGGAGCAAATCTTTGTGTCTGTAAAATATGTTCTCGTGTGTTTGTGTTTATCTATTTTTGCCGCCTTACAGATTTTCCTTCCATTTGGAAGGTGGAAATTCATTAAACATTTGAATTATTGCTCATCCTTGTGATTAGTGGCTGCTCCATTTAAACCTGTGACTGAAATGTTGCGTGTTCCTAGTGCAATAGTTGTGTTGGCTGTTTGGGAGGACTTATCCTAGTATTATTCACTTGGTTTTGATTTGATTTGGGGTTTGGGGGGTTGGTTTTGTTTCCGTTGCCTTTCCTAGTGCTGACTTATCTATGGCCTGGCTTTTGCAGATGAATTTTCTTTATTTTTTAATTAGAAAAGTAATGCTTAAGTTGCAAATAACTTGGGAATTCTACCTGGAATTTTCCACTTCCTAAGGTCGTTGTAACCAGGAGGGGGTGCTGCAGCAGCATGTCATGAGCACGGTCCATTCTGTCTGGTTTGGTTTTCTTTCGGCATCTTTACAGGCCAAAGGAACTGATAACGGTGAAGACTGAGGTGAGGTTTTGGTCGAGCCGGTTGACTCAAAGGGGCAGGTGAAACAAAGCAAAGCCAAGCCAGGTGCTTGCAGGAGAAAAGGGGGTTAAGCAGAAAGGAAGCAGTGCCAGTCTTAGATTTGTGTTTGTACTTGACATTCTTACTTAAACATCTCTCGGGGCATTAGGACTTAAAGATCACAACATCCGGCCGCGACAGGACCTGATGTGTTACTGTTAACAGAGAGAACGTGTCTACAAAGCCCGGATTACGCGGCAAGCCAAGTGCGATGAGAACGGGCGTAAGGGGCATCACGCCCATGGGAGCACACCAAGGGAACAACCC